GGGAGAGCGGGGGATGTCCCACCTTCGTGGACAATCTGGGTCCCTAACGCCGGCCCGTTTCGAGTCACCTCCGTCCGTCCGCCTGTTGAGGTCCTTACTCGGGTGTGTCTCAGGCTGTCCCATGAAGGGTCCCACTGTGGCTGTCAAGTCTCTGCAAACCGATGGGCATTTGGGACTGAGTGGCTGGGACACTGTCCCCTGTGGGGCCGTCCCGGCTGCAAGGCTATTAGTGATGGTCGGGTGTATCCCTGGCCTGGGGCAGAAGGGAACTGAGGGACCCCGAGGCCACCTCTCGGGTCCCAAGGGTGAGCGTAGCACAGGGTCACCGGCTCTCTCCCTGCACATGCCTCTGACCCCCAAAGAACATGCACGTGGAGGGTCCCGGAGGCTTCCGAGGGCGGGTATCGGGTCCCCAGCTTGTAAAGTAGCCTTGGGGTCTGCAGCACGTGATGGGCAGACCCAGAATCGGGAAACGCAGGTCCTCTTCCTTCTGAGGACCCCCCCCCCCGTGTTTCACAGCCTCACTCCTCAGAGCTGCCATCTGCGCAGAGGGCCTCGCATGCCCTGTGGACGTCACACGAAAAGTGTCCATCCAAGAGCCCTCGCCCTGACACAGGTGTGGTCCAGGGGACGGTCCCCCCTGCCCCGTCCAGCTCCTGGGGGCTCCAGGCGTCCCCCCATCTCTGCCTCCGTCTCCACGTGGCGTCCCCTCTGTGTCTGTGTGTCCCTCCTCTTCTGTCCCCGATAAGGACACTGTCATTGGGGTCAGGGCCCCCCTGATCCAGGACGCCCTCCTCTCAGATCCTTCACTTAGTCCCATCTGCACAGACTCCATTTTCAGATCAGGTTCCGTTTTGAGGTTTCGGATGGACATGGCTTTTGGGGGGACACTAGTCACCCCGGTACAGTTGTGTATTTTTTGTTCCAAAGCAGTGATGTCAGGGCACACGTGCTCCCAGAGTCCCCCCCGCTGAGTGGCAGCTCACAGCCCCCATCGGCACCTGGGACCCCGGTGGCGAGGCTGCCTGCCTCCGACCAGCCCACCCTAGTGGCCCCTGAGCCCCGGCCCCCCGGCGCCTCCCAGCTGTCACCTTATAGGCTCCAGGGCTGTTCTGTCCCAAGGAAGCCCCGCACCCAAGGCTGTGCGTCCCCCTGTGATGTTCCAAGGAAATTTCCAGGTCCTGAGGGCCCACTGGTTTGGCACCCCGATCACTCCATGGCTGGAGGGTCCTCATTTTCCCAAAGCAGCACGGGGACGGAGCTGGCACGGGTTTGTCCCGGGTGCAGGAAGGCCCTCTGCTGACCTGGCTGGCGGACACCGAGAGGCTCGGCCGCCGACACTCTCGCGGGCGCATGCGCTCAGCGGTCTTACAAGCGCCTGGTCCCCAGACGGGGTCGTGGGTCAGGCTGGGTGCAGGGCTGTGGAGAAGCCACCTCGGACCTGGGAGGATTTGCCACGGCCCAGGGCTCTCGGGCGGGGGCGGGAGCCACAGAACAGCTGCAGGGAACCCTTGGGGTAAGCTGCACCCCGAAACATCACAGGGAGCCCCACCGTAGCCTGCAGACACCGGCCGTCCTTCACACAACACCCTCAGCCACTGCTCGTCTGCCTGAAGCCCCTCGGCCCCCGGGGGTGGTGGTGGCTGGCGCATGCCTGCTGGACGTCCTTTCTTGCCACGTGTGACATTTAAGTAGAGCGTGAGCCCCAACATCTCTGCAAGACCCCACGCTTGGCTTCTGGGGAGACAAGGCGACATGAAAGGATCTGTGAGCTTCCTGAAGTTCGTCTGTGCACGGTCATCCAGCCAAATCCTGGCACCCAGGGTGACCGAGGGTGAAATGAACCCAGGTCCGGGGTCCGTCAGGNAGATAAATGGATAGAAAATGATGGATGGATAGATAATGATAGGTAAGTAATAGCAGATCGATAGAAAGACATGATAGATATAGATACATGATTGATAGGCAGCATGGATGAATTGATAGACACACAGATGAGACACACCGGCCCTCTGATGCTAAGGCAGGCTTCTCAGCGTGGGCACCACGGACGTCCAGGACTGGGTGACTCTGATGTGGGGCACCCTGCACCCTGTGGGGCTGAGCAGTGTCACTGTGGGTGGGCATCCCCCCACCAGATGCCAGGAGCACCCCACTGTGACACCCCAGTGTGATAATCACACAAATACACACATATGCATAGATGTGTACACATGGGTATGTATGTGTGCGTGTGTCTGTATGTACACCGTGTATGCGTATGTTTGTGGACTCCTATTACATGTCTGATTGTATCATTACCTCCGATTTCCTGTCCTTAACCTTCTGCACTGCATGGTGCCCCGAAGGCATCGGATTGTCCTTCAAATGAGGTTTTGATGCCTGATACAGATCTGGGGACCGGAGGTCAGCCGTGGGTCTCAGTGGCTTCCTCGTGGAGTTGGGGGTCTGGGGGGCAGGGGTGGTGGGACGGCATGGGCCCAGAAGCCAGCACGCTTCACCCCCTTGGCCCTCACAGCTGAGCTTTCAGCCTCAGAGCAGATCTGAAGGTCCCTTGGTTGGTCCCTGGTGCTCCCCCCATGCAGGGCCATGAACCAGGACAGGACACAGCTATACCTCCCCCTTCCTGCACCACCCCTGCCCCTGTCCACCCCAGCCCCCCTGTGCCCCACCTTGGAGGGGTGACCGCCCACCAGGCGGTTTCTCAAAGGTGGGTTCTGATTCACCATTTGGCCTGACGGGGACATCCTTCAAATGTTAGAGGAGATAATAATAATAATAATAATAATAATAATAATAATAATAATGTAATTATCAAATATTTATTTCATTAGATGTGAATGATGTGCCATTCATATTTATCACTGACGATCCAATCAATTAAATATTCATCATGAATATTTAATCATAGCAATGATTATTTCTAAGTGCAGCATTCGAGGGGCACTTAAAGCTCAATGATGACGTGTTCATAGCTGGCTCATCTCGTCGACGGCTATTTGGAAAGTTTGAGATAAGGGGTTCATCCCTCTTTTCACATTGCATACCAGAGATGGTGTCCAATGTGGTGCCCACCTGCCAACTGAGTTTGGGGGCACCCCTTTCATTCCTTCACAGCCAGTGATGGCCTCACTTGAGTGTCGTCATGACAAAGAAAACAGAGCAGGTATTCCAAAGAGAAACCTGAACACCATTTATTGAAGGGTCAACGTTTTCGNATCTGTCAATCACCTGTCATATGCACCCTCCGTCCACCCACCCACCCATCATGCATCCAGCGAGCCAGCCAACGGCTACTGAGCACGGGCGATTCCTCCCTGTCCCTCAGCTCCAAGGTCACAGGCACCTGCCCATCCTGCCCGCAGGCCTGTGTGCCAGCTACTCCCTGTCCTGACTGTAGGGTGGTCTTGGGCATTAAACACCTGGCGACCCCACGCCTCCAGCCACAGGCTTCCATTTGTCTCCTGGGCAAGGGGGTGGTCACTAGGGTTTGGGGGCCACGTCCTGGGTGGACCTCACCCTCCCCGCACGACCGGCACCCTTGGCGGTGCCCAAGGGGAAACCATTCTCCCCGCATGCAAACGTCTTGAAGGGGAAACGTGTGGCCACGCGCGGCCGGCGTGCCGGATGCTGCTGGAATGACACTCCAGCCGCACTGCCGGGGTGTTGGTGGGGCGACGGGACACGGTGCCACCCGGCCCCCGCGCCTCAGCTTCCAGCGTTAGAGCCCCGCTTCGGAGACCATACTCAGGACAAGTCGGGGACAGAGCAACAAGCCTGTCCTCTGTGAACACAGAAGTGCGCGCTGTGTGTAGTTCCTCTTCCCGCTGCAGCCGGCCTTGTACCGGCCGCGGGAACTCCCAGCCGGCACGTGCGTGGGGCTCGCCCCCTTCCCAGACTCCCGTGGGCCGGTTTTGAACATGCACCGGGAAGCCGCGCTCCTCACCGGAGCCGCCTGAGGTGTCCGGCTGCCCAGCGGCCCCCTTGGCACAGACCCCTGGCTGCCCACCCGCGGCNGCGGGGACCCGGGGCTGGCCTGCGTGTCAGCCTGCGGGGGGCCTCTCCCTGTGGCTCCCAGATGATAGCAGCAGCAGCGGCGGCGGCGGCGGGAAGCACGGGAGGGCTGTGACCGCCGCCCCCCAGCTGTGCACCTGGATCGCGCAGCTCAGAACACGCTCTCCTGTCTCTTGAGGCAGGGCCGGGCGGCCGGCTCCGGCCCGTCCACGTGGCCGCTGGACACGGAGGGCGCCAGCAGCCTCCCCGCGGACAACAGGCTCTCCCTGCGGGCGCGCAGGCTGCGGGCGGCGGGCGTCCCCGAGCCCAGGTAGCCCCGCAGCCGGAGCTGGAACTCGCGGGAGGCGAAATAGTAGACGAAGGGGTCGAGGCAGTTGTTGAGGCAGCTGAGGCAGAGCGTGAGCTTGTACACGTGGTAATAGCTGCGGCCCAGGAAGAGCCGGGCCACCATGTGCGCCAGCAGCACGAAGTTGTTGGGCGCGAAGCAGGTGACGAAGGCCAGCAGCACCACGGTGGCCAGGCAGACGGCCCGCCGGCGCTGGCCGTGGCCTTGGGGGTCGGGCGTGCGCAGCAGCTTCAGGATGGTGGCCGTGTAGCAGGCCACGGTGACCACGAAGGGGATGAGGAACAGCACGATGAAGAGCGTGAACAGGAACATGGCCCACATGGCCACGCTGGGCAGCATGGTGGACTTGAGCACGTCGAAGCAGGTGACGATGCCCAGCTCCTCCACGGCGTAGGTGAGGTCCGTGCGCGCCAGCGGCGACAGGGCGCCCAGCAGCAGCAGCCAAATGGCCGCGCAGGTGGCCACCGCGTAGCGGCGACGCCGCCAGCGGGCGGAGGCCAGCGGGTACACCACGCCCAGGAAGCGGTCCACGCTGATGCAGGTCATGGTGAGGATGGAGGAATACATGTTGGCGTAGAAGGCCACCGTCACCGCGTTGCACAGCCACTCGCCGAACACCCAGTGGTGGCCGTTGCAGTGGTAGTAGATCTGGAAGGGCAGCACGCTGGCCAGCGTCAGGTCCGTGACGCTCAGGTTGATCATGAAGATGACCGACGGGGACGCCGGCCCGATGTGGCGGCACAGCACCCACAGCGAGAACAGGTTGCCGGGGATGCTGACCAGGGCCACCAGGGAATACACCGCCGGCAGCACGGCCGCGATCACGGGGTCCTTTAGCATCATGATGGTGGCGTTGTCCGGACGTGTCATGTTTATGTCCATCATGGCGGTGCGTCCGGCGACGGCTCCGGGGAAGGGGATCTGGAAGGCAGAGGGCACGGGGGGGGGGCGACAGGGTCAGTGGAGGGGTCCCCGTGATGAGCCCACAGTGCCACCCATTCCCTGACAGTTTCCTTCTTTCCTTTTTTTTGGGGGGGGGAGTGTGCTGAGAGGCACGGAGCGCTGGCTTCAACATTGAGGCTGTGAGGATGCCGGCGGAGGGCGGCACGCACAAGGTGACCAAGGGACCTCGTGACGAGTCCTGCAAGAGACCCTGCTCCCAGTTGCAAAATAGTTTCTGTGTCTCGGACTGCCCCCAGCCGTGCTTCCTCGTTTGCAGAAGGTGAAGGAGGGGTCCCCCCCGCCCAGGGCCATCTTGGGTATCACCTGCTGCCCGCCCCAGCCACACGGGGGCACCATCGCTGTGCCAGCGGGTTCCTCAGGCCATCACCCTGTGCCTGGCCTCCCTCCCGCCTGCTCCTGCTGATAGCACCTCATGGTCCGTACTGCACTCACCCTGCACCTGGGAACCCAATGCCAAAGTGCCCCCAGAAGGGCGCTCGTTAGGGGCCGAGGTCCCCTGGAAGCCCCCCAAGACATCAGTCCTTGTCCTCCCCTACGGCGGTCCCCCCTGGATGCTACAAAGTATTTGAGTCGATGGCCACCGTTGGGGGGATCATCTCATAGTCGCTTCAAGTCCGCGCGTCAAGGTCAGACAGTGACGCACCACCTAGCCGACTAGTGTCACGTGTCCGGTGTGTGTGGTTTTGACGCCGAGCGCCCCTCCAGCCTCCCAGGATGGCACAGGGACAGAGCCGCACGCACGGCGACTTCCCAGGAGTGGCCCGCCTCCTGTGAAAACCACAGATCACGGAGCCCGCCTCCACAGGGCCGTTAGCATCTTACGTCTTTCTTCGCTTCTTGTTTTCCCAAATTAGCGCCTGCCCATAGCGTTTCCCAAACGCGTAATTGGCTCTTTAGGGGCGTGCAACCTGAACACGTAATAAGAGTGAGGGGGACTGCAGACTCTGGGGCTCTGGTCTACCCAAAGTTGCAGAAAACAATTATTCGATGTATTCTGAGCCTTTACCTCTCACCGCTGTGGCCCCCACCAGGTTTCTAGATCCTGCCCCACCTGTGCCCTGTCTGTGAACCGGTGCTGATTAGGTAGAGCTGGGCCTGCTGCGTGTGCGGGCAGAGGAGGGCCGACTGTGCCCATGCTGAGCTCTGCCCGCCCCGGGGGGTTGGCCCTGTGTGGTCCGCAGCAGCGGTTTTCAGACCCACGCAGAACCACGAAAGGAGGAGTCTGCAAACCGTTTTCATCAGCCCCGAAGGGGATGACCACGTGGCGGGGACAGATAGGGGCGGTGGCGGGCGGGGACTGTGGGTGCGCCGGGGCCACGGAGCTGTGCGCTCTGACGCGGCGAGTGTTAGGAGAATTTGGTCTCAACGGGGAAGGACGGGGGAAGGCAGGAAAGAAGGCTTCTGCGTGCTAGTGCATGTGCGTACCTATATTTATCTATGTCTACATCTATATACCTACCTATATCCATATGCACCTGTGGCTACCTCTGTCTCTGTATCTATACCTGTAGTCATCTCCCTGTCTATATCTGTCACCGATGTCTATATATGTGTCTATGTATCCTGTCACGTAGCTGCCCAGCTGTATTTGTTTGTCTCTATACACCTCTCTGCTGTGTAAAGCACTTGGAGTGTGTCAGCCCCACGAGTGTTCCTCAAAGTTCGTTACTTTCACGCGGACTCACGTGGGGACAGCGCGACCGCCGAGCAGCCCCTCGCAGACGTCCCCAGCTCCGGCCCTGCCCGCCCTGTACCTGGCCCAGGCCTGCCCCCCCCGCTGCTGCCGGCGCAGGGTCGCAGGGCCTGCCGCCTTCCCCGCCGACCTCCCAGGTGACACGCAGGGACACGGGGATGGGGACTTCTCCATGCACGGCCATCGTAACCCCTGGCGGAGCGCCGTCTCCGGGACCACAGGCTTTTCCCGCTGGGTCACGCCACCCGTGCGCGCCTTAGCGATGTCCTCACTTGTCATTGGGACCTGGTGGCTGCAGGCTCTGTGACCGGGCCCACCTGGGGACCTTGGGCAGGTGTCCCAGCCGCCTGTCCTGCATTTCGTGAGCTCCGAAGGGCCGGTGTGGACGTCCTCACGGTGAGGAAGAGACGTGGGGACACGCATGGACACGGGCGGGAAGCTCCCCGCCGCTCCCAGCTGGGGCCACTTTCACTGCTTCCCAGCCTGAGAATGCACGGTGTCAGCTCGAGCAGAGCCGTCCCCCCACGGTGACCCGTGGGGCCCGCGTGGAACAGGCCCACCCCGGGTGCCAGGGCTGACCCAACAAGGGAGGGGTCCTGCCTGGGCGGCTTGCAGGCGCCCTCTGCCTTCTCTGCACGGTGGGTCCAGGCTCACGTTCTCTGTACATGCAGCTCACAAGGCATGTGTTCCGGTTTAAAACGTCGGGGGGCTTTGCCCCCCCCGGACTCACTTTGTCATTCCCGCGCTCTGGTTGACCTCTCTTTGAATGCTGGAGAAAAAAAGAGCCTTCGCCTTTAAAGTAGGGGGAAAACAAAAACAACCAAAAACAAACCAGAGAAGCATGGTGGTGTGACTTCTCACGTTCCAAGGTGAAGCCACGGGCGAGACTGTGGTTTGCCCGTTGGATCCCAGTGGGTGCAAGTTCGGGGCTCCTGAAATTAGGCCGTGGGGCTTGAGGCTCAGCCGGGCATCCGGTGGCCTCACTGTACCCCTGTCCTCACGCCTGGCTCACCGCCCAGCACACACAGTAGCCCTAAAACCTCCTTCTGCTCCGCGGCGGTCCCCGCTGTCACTCGGCTGGCCCAGCGGTGGCGAGCCTCGGGGTTGGCCGTTCAGCCGTGGGGGTATGTTTTGGGGGGGGCGTCACACAGTCCCTGTGCTGGAAAGTCCCCCCCCCACCTCCTCACGGCCTTCCTGGTGCATCTAGGTTTTCACTCACATTTCAGCCCATCCCGACCTGGTGTGTGTCTCCCTCTGGAGAAGACGCCCCATCTGTCACCAGTGTCTGCAACAGACAGCTTCCTTAAAACCATTTTAAAACGGCCCCGAGTTTCGGTTTGAGTGTGCACCTTCCTGCCCCCTCACGCACGCCCAGGTGCAAACCCCGCGGTTATCTGTGGGCCGGCCCTGGTCCCCGGCCACCCGGGTCCGTCCCTGGCTTCAGGGCAAAAGGAACCTGTGCTTCTGCGAGTGTCCCTTGGCGCTGGGGACCGAGACACAGGAGGGACAGCCGGGGGTGGATTACAGGCACGGGAGGGCGCCGCTGGCGTTTTAGAGACAGGCCGCAGGAAAACCGTGCCTCTGAAGTGAATGGCGCCGTGAATGGTGCCGTGGGCTTCCGAGGGAGGACGCGTGTGTGGGCAACGCTCTGCATTTCTGCTCCCGCGCCTCTGGACGCCCTGAGGGCTGTCGTGTCCAGCGGGGAGCTTCTGAGAAGCGCAGATATGCCTTCCACGCACGGTTACAGGCCCACGGAGAGGAGCCCAGGCAGGTGACAGAAAGAATGGCTGTGGAAAGCTTTGTGGGCGTCGCAGGCCCCACGCACCCTCTGCAGCCCTGAAGGAGCCCTTCCCGCTGGTCCCGCGCTTTCACCTGTGTCACCTCTTGTGGGACAGGCAGCCCCCTCTGCACCCACAGCACCGGCAATGTGGCCTCGCGGTGTCCGGCCCCAGGAGGACGGTCCAACGGCTGAGCGGCGTGGGTGGTTATTAATAAAGGAATCGCCCTCACAGACGCGGCTCACTCGCACGGCGCTTGTGGTTTGCAGGGGGCCCCTGGCAGCAGGATGGAAATTTTGTGAAATGAGCAAAAAAACGGCTGCGCTCGGTGGCCGCCAGACGCTCTGCCAGGCGCTGGGCGAGCAGAAGGTGGCTCTTGCAAAAGACGCAGGTCAGGGGCTGCCCAGAGCGGGCGGCCGACCGCAGGTGGGGGCTGGGAGCTCGCAGGCAGGAGGCTGTGACTCATTCTACACAGGACAGCGCACGCAGGTCTGAGGGCCACTCCAGCTGTTTGTCACCGCACCCATCTCTGGTTTTTTTGGGGTTTTTCTTTTTTTCTTAACAGCTTTACTGAGGTATGATTTACATACTGTAAGTTCACCCATTTAAAGGGTGCAATTCAGTGGTTTTTAATATCTTCGCGGACGCGCCACCGTCACCATAATGCAATGCCACAGTGTTTGCATCGCCCCCCAAAGAAAGCCTGCGTACCACAGCCGTCGCACCCCCCCAAAGGCCCCGCCCCAGCCCTTATTTATAAACAGTGTAAAATGAAGTTTGGCTCCAGTATTGCAACCATTTGCAAAACATCAACAGCTCCGTGGCATTTAGCACAGTCAGCGATATCTGCAACCATCACGTCTATCTGTTTGTAGAAAATGGTCATCTTCCTAAAAGGAGACCTGTCCCCATGAGCTGTCCACTCTCCAGTCCCCTCACCCATCCCCGTCCCCCTAACCCACCTCCTGTCTCTGTGGATGGGCCTGTTCTGGACGTTTGACATCAATGGAGTCACACGGTGTGTGGCCTTGTGTGTCTGGTGTCACTCACGGGGCACCGTGTCCTCAAGGTCCCTCCACGTGGTAGCAAATGTCAGCGTCTCCCTCCTTTTCGTGGCCGCGTAATATTCCACGCGCGTGGAGACGGACCCCACTGTGTCGATCCGTTCACCCTCTGATGGACAGCTTGTTTGTGACCTTTACCTACTGGGAATAACGCTACTGACCTCTCACACCCGCCCAGCCCCGGGACCCCCATCGGAAAGCTCCGGATGCAAGTGCCGTGGTCCTTGGGTTTTGGTGTCGGTGGGTCTTCCCAGGATAGTTCTCGTGCAGGCGCCCAGAGCAGACTCACCACGGGGCACGGAGCTGACCTGGCCTCACCCGCTGCCTCGGCGGGAAGCGCTGGGTGAGGACCGCGGGGGGAGCTATGCGCCCCCACCGACAGCCTCGTCTGGGACACCGGCTTGTCACCCACAGCCCAAGGACGTGGG